GAAGTCCTTGCATGTTTCTATGAACTGGTCCCGTTAGTCCAAATCACTGGCCAAAGAAATCTATTTAATTTGGCACACTTTTAGTTGGCAGTTCACACGAAAAACACAAACTCCAACTTCTAGGCCTGCAGCGAATTTCAGTCTAGCAGCCCCACATTCAGATTTAAAGTAATTCCTTGATATTACCTTCCAGTCGTTTTGGTAGTTGTGCTTGTTAAGATGTGTTTTTTATGCATTATTTTCATTTCGCTTAGCTGTCCTTGTAGACGGATTCAGCGAATTTTTCGAATAGTTTGCAGTCATCGGAAATAGGCCGTACGCAGGAAGGCAACCTATTAATCTCAGCTGAGGTGTAGATATTCGGTGAAACAGAGGTCTAGCCAAATATATGCAATTATTAACAAGTATTACTTTAATATTAATTATTATAATAACTATAATATTTGCTTTGTCATCAAAATTTATGCATAAGTACTTGAGTCACCTTAAGTGGATTAAGGTGATGCAAAAATGAGCAGTTTAAATCCCCACTATGAAATGAGTAGACACACGAATTCCAGCAAACTCCGCCATAAAAGTTTTCTAATCCAGGATGGACTGAAGACTCAACCACATACCAATAGGGGGATTTGAAATCAGCGATCATAGCATGGCTCAAATTGGCCACGGGCGCCATTGCGTCACAGGGAAGATAGGACTCAAAAATTATAATTCTAAAAATTCCCCTATTTTCATAGACTACTTAACCAGAATAAAGTAATGTGCTCTAGGGTAATTACAAATGCTCACTTGCATTATGTGAAAAATGCGCTCTTTAACGATGTGATATGACTTTATGGCAGTGGTGGATGAGCCGGTGAGTTGGGAATTTTTACCGTTTGATGTCCACGAGCCTGGTTTGAATCCAGTTTAGGCGCCAATGAGACGCGTGCGAAAGCGAAACTATCTGCTTCTTTCATTTTGTAAAAATCCAAATGCATGCCTTTACCTCATATTAAGCAACAAAGGTTGGCTAAAGTAATTGCTTACGATTGTGTTTATAATGTTATAAGATCGGTTTATGCATAAAATGCTCGACATTGCTCTGTAGGATTGAGCAATCTCTTGTAGATCTTTTTGCATTCACAGCTACTGTGCTGACTTTTGTGTTTTCTCAGAGTGATTTCGTCCATATCAAACCACTTGAGTTGGCGAACGCCTCGTTGAAGACACGCTTTATGACGGTGCTACGCCAACTTCGGGAGGTGAGGAACGAGAACCTCAACCCAGTGATCGGCTGTTTCATCGACATCGCCTCGATCAGCATCGTCTTTGAACACTGTCCTCGAGGCAGTCTCAAGGTTTGGCTCTATTACCATAATGCGATGCTTTCTCTTTATCTGCCTCATAATTTAGCACGAAACGAGACCATTTTGATGGACATAATGAGAGGCAAATCTTCGTGGAAGAGCGAGTTTAGCATACACAGAAACCAATGTTCCACAGGTTATTTGGACGAATAGACGAATCATTAACTCACCATTTATGTCCGGACTTCGGATGAAACTAGAAAAACACGAAGATGGCTCGCTGAGGGTTTAGAGGTTCCTGACAAGACGGATTATCACCACTTCATGCATGCCCAAACCAATATTAGAAGCAAGTAGGTCTTTGAAATTGACCGTAAATCGTGAAGAAGATTTTTACCCATCTTAGGTCGCATAAGCTGATAAAGGAGTGTCAGCTGCATT